ATAAGTGGTGGATATTCAGCCTGCATTGTTTAACTTGGTAAACATTGGTGTGGGGCACAGTAGAACCCAGGAATTTTGAAGAAACAAACTCATCCAAGCAGCCAGGAAAGGAGAAGGATGAAAGAAAGACGTTGTTAGATGTCCTGGGGCTGCCATTCCTGACATGGACTTCTGAGAACTTTACAATAGTCCCAAATTATATTTTATAATTATAAAATATTTTATAATTTTTATAAATATAATTATATTCATAATTTTATAAATATAATTATATTTTAAGATCATCAGAGTGGGGAAAGCTTACATGACAGTTACAAATTATCAGATTTAACTAAAATAAAGGTTTTCAGAACCAAGGGTCTCCAAACTCCACAAGTCTTAAAGTTGCCAAGGTTGGAGATGCTGCTCCTAAACCATGAGATATGGTTTTATCTTAGCAAGTTCTGTAATTTATTAACAAGAGTTGGCAGTTTAGCACAATCTGTGAATCCAGTTATTGGTTGGATGCATTGTCAAATTTTTGTTTGTTTGTTATATTAACATAATTCTGTGGTAAATGTTTTACCTCTGTGCTTGTGTGCATGTGTGTATGTGTGTGCGTTTGTGTGTGTGTGTAGTATGCTTTTGTGCCTTCAAGTAAGTATTGACTCCTGCCAACTGCATAGACAAGTCCATGTAGTTTTCTTGGCAACATTTTGGAAACTGTTTGCCATGGCCTTTTTTCTAGAGCTGAGAGAGAGTGATTGTCCCAAAGTCTCTCAACTGGCTTCATACCTAAAATAGGACTAGAACTCAGTCTCCTTGTTTCTGGTCTGGTATGTTAACATCTTCTAGGTCAGGGGTCCCTAACCCCTGATCTGTGGACTGGCACCGGTCCGTGGCATGCCAGCAACCAGTCCGCACAAACAAGCAAAGCCCCATCCATGGGATGCAGGTAGTATATGAAACCATGCCCCCTCTGGTCTGCAGAAAAACGTCTCTTCACGGAACCAGTCCCTGGTGCTCAAAACGTTGCAGACCTCTGTTCTAGGTTATATTCCCAAACAGATTTTGGAAGCAGAAAAGAAAAAAAATGAAGTAGAGTCAGATTCCATTTTAAGCAACACCCCCTAAATAATGAATGCATTTGTTTCAAGGTTTCAAAATATACTGTTTTTATTTTCTCTCTTTCTTTTGATAATCCAAGTAGGCTGATCTGGAGTCTCCTCTTATTTTATCCTCACAACAACCTTGTGAAATAGATTGGTCTGAGAAATAGTCACAGTCTCAAATATCCCCAAAACTTCATGAATGTGAAGGTTTCCATGACAGTTTTCCATTCTGACCAGATTTTATTTTAAAAAAATACATTGAATTCAGTGAGATTTCGTTGCCTTAAACCTATCTGACTGTTCAGATTTTCAATGAATGAAATTGTTAATAAGACACTACATAAAGTACATTCCCAGTTACTTAGAACAGACCAGAATACACTGTCTTACTGAAGTGACAATCTCCTGAATGAGAGATTTTTCATATTGCTAAGGCTCACTCACAGCTGCTGTCATAGTTCAAAAGTAGGCTAGATATACAATTGTGTGGCATGCACATACTGAAAAGCTGTCTGGTTTATTGTCCAATGATTCACCATTCTGTAAATGAATAATTCCAGACATGGAAATGCTGCCTTATTAGCCTAAAAAGGTATAAAATACATTCCTCATTCCTAACTATCAATAGCTAACAAGCTTTTATGAAAGAAAGATTGCTCATGTGATCTTCCATTGAAATATGCAATCATCAAGGATTGTTTGTTCAGTACATTCTTAGGAATATTCTCAGCGTCTGGATTTACACATTGAGCTTAGCCATAGTTGACCTATGATTTGTAGAATAAAATTGGGTTCACTCAGTATACTGCTGTAGATAAACATAACTGGGGTTAAACAATATGCTAGGTCACAAAAAAAGCAAATCACATATTGACTCATTGTGAGAACCTAGCCAATCTCTGTGGGCAATCAACATAATCCACAAGGGCAAACAACATAATAACATAATCCACAAGTGATACATATTGAGTATGTGCACGACAGAGATGCAGGAACACAATAAATGTGAAAAAGATTTTCTAAATAAAGAAGTTTAAACTATACAAAATGCTTTGTTTCAATAAAAATAAGATTCCACACTTTATTTTAGGTTTTAGATTTCATAATATTATTATGAGATGGAAGACACATAATACTTCAGGTGTTGAATGAAGACTATAATTTGTGTATATTAATTTTGTAAATTCAAATTACATTTGAGGCAGTTGTAAACTTTGAAACTAATCTCATTTTTAAGAAAGCAAAAATTTAGCAACATAAATCCAATTAGATTTACCCCATCATAGATGTGAAGTTTGAATTTTTGATGTTTAACATCCATATCAACTGATGAGACTGAACACTGTTTCTTGGATTGGAGATTGGAGACTGTTTCTTCATTGAGTAAGATATTTAGATTCCAAAAACAAAGAAAAATATTGCTATGATTGATTTTTGAGCCATCCTGTTGGTTCTCCTTCACATCTCTCTAACCATAAGAGAAAGTTGCCCCATAACTGTTTTAATTTACATAACCAATTTTTATCACCATCCATCTCACAACAATGACTCTAATGGCCATAGAGGATTAAACTTTTCAAAAAACAAGACATAACTTAAAAATAAACCCTCAAAACAATAATATCATACTCATCTGAAGTCTAAAATCCATTCCATTTCCAATTAATGAAGAAAAGAACTAGACAAACCAATCAATAGGCCCAAATGTCTGAAAGAACATCCAGGTCTCTAATGCTTTATGAAAGGCCAACAATTTCAGTGCCATCTGGTGCTGTGGCAGAGGAGGCATGACTCAAGTCCCAAAGAATAACATTACCTAACAGAAGAGAAATGGAGCATGCCAATCTACTGGTGCTTTAAAAAAAATATTATAATACTGCCCTTTTCTCATGCTGACTCTACTTCAGATTCATATTTACCTTATCCATAAGATAAAGTAGTGTCTCTCTCTTCTCCCAACAATGATATCATAGTACTGGAGGCTAAAGAGCTAACTCTCCCCTTCCTATTAGCTAGCCCAAAAAAGAGCTGACAAGGGGTTAGGGGCATAAGGGATACTAGTGTTTCACCACATGGCCCACCCAATCCAATCAGGCTGTTTTCAGGCAACTTTTAAAGACAGATTTGGAGCTCTTGTGAAAGAGTACAAGATCCATGTTTCGCTCTCTATTTCTCCTGCCAGCCTGAAAAATAGGTGATAGGCAAGAGGGTAGTCCACCCACCACCTTTGCCTGTTTAACTACTCTTGCACTCTTCCAGAGGCACATTAAACCTGTGTTCAAAAATAATTTTATAAACCACTGAGGATGGGGAAGAGGCCCTGTCAATTAATTTGTGTTTAGAGCTATCATCTCTCTTGCTTTATTAGACTGTGTCACCCATAAATCTACAGTACAGGACCTGAAGTGCAGAGTAGGCGAAGGCTTCAATGCATCCTACAGATTATTTGTTGGGTGAATGTTGCCCTATAAAGCAGAACAATGACAGCTCAGAACCATGTTTTGACAAATGGTTAAACCCATGATCTACTTGTCTATTAAATATTTCCTTGCCAGCAGGTGACACAAGAGGAATTGAACAGTTTCCTTAAATTGTCCAGGATCACATCTGCAAAGACAACATCAGTTATAGGCCTTATTACTGGCTCTGCAAAGAGGACAACACACGCTGGCACATTTTTGTACTACTTTATGGACTGGAGAAAAAGTACAATAGACAGAATATAAGGGAGCCTACAGATATCTGAATCAAGTCTTTTCAAATACAATTTGTTATTGAGTTGAATAAGGAACTCTCCCACAGGTTGCTATGAAGGAATAAAGAAATGACTGAGTTTCCTATTTTCTGAGAGTATAAATTCCAATTGTTAAAAAAAAAATAAAGGTTCATTTCCTCCTATGCAAGACATTGATGGAAAACAGTAAAATCTATAGCTGTTCCTATAGTTGTGTATACTCAGCTTAATTTTAAATGCTCTGCCTATACATTTCCTGTATTATTTATTTACTACATTTTTGCTCTTTTTTGGAAATAGTTTAAAGTATTTTATCTCACAGAAGTTTGATTATAATAACTACAGTAGGTAGCTGTGCTATTAAATATAACAAAGACAATCAACGTCTAAAAGCCTTATTTAAGTATCCCATTGGGCTTGGTAATTTCTTTTAGAGAACTATGAAGTTCTTTGTATTTCAAGTTATCTCACTAAGTACATTATCTTGGCTATATCTCATTTTCAGTGTTTGTTATTTCTAAAAGAGTGGCAATATATGAACAAAGTTAATAAATAAATAAAAGCTCATTCAAGACTAAAATATTTGCTGTGGCTTCAAATACACCATTTGTGTCCTGCTGGCTCTGAGGAAAGAAAATAATATTGTTGTGGCTGAAGCTATGGCTGAAGACAGGCGTGTAAGTAGATATTTATTTTAATTTTTTTAAAGTTATACTTCATCATTGTTTCAGAAGATCAAGCAGCTTATGTAACATTTACTCTCCCAGTTTTCACCCTCAGCAATAAACCTGACTGGCCCAAAGTTTCTCCGAGAATTTCCATGGGTCCCTCGACCTGGTCCAAACAGTGACTGTCATTTTATTTCTTTCACGAACTTTTATGAGACACTGCTGAAGATCCATCAAGCCCAAGAATTTCAGAGCAGAGGTTGAATTTTTAGAAAGGCTCCATTCCTTCCTCATGTTATGCCCTTTAATTTCCAAAATTTCCTCCAAACGGATTAAGAATAGATACTTCTGTGCTTGGAAAACTGCCCCCCCCCCCCGTATCTCGCAGCTACGCCTGCGGGGAGTTACTGAATCCACAGCTCGCAGCTGCCCGACTTTCTAATCCTGCAGACAGGTGGGCCAAGGACGAGGAGGGGGCAGTGCGGAGGCGACTCCTGGACCTATAAACCGGCCTCCTCCGGTAGCAGCAGAAGGCGAGCACCCGGGGAGGGAGAGCGCCCACCGGAGCTCCTTTCCGCGGACGGGAACCTGGACCGGTTGACCACCTCCGCCCGTCGATGTCTGACCTCGAAGCTGCTCCGGCGGCTCCAGAGGTCGCCCTGGCCGCTGGTCCGCCCGGTCCGGAGGAATCCCCGGCACCTAACCTGGCCGGAGCGAGAAACCAGCCGGCGCCCGAACGCGCCCTGCCCGTCGAGGCAACTTGGCAGAAGACCCAAGAAGGTGAGGGAGGCAGACGGGAGGCGGTGAAATGAAGAAAAGGGAAGGAGGGCTACGTGGCCCTCTTTCCTCCAGGCCACCCAGATAGGGGATGCGATGGATGGGTGGTGTGCTGGGTGAAGGGGGGAACATTCCTCCCCACTCGACGTTCATCCTCCAAGAAAAAAAAGCAATATAAAACACTCATATTCCGATCATTTCCTGTGATGCTGGTGACAACGCTCTTTTTAAAAATCACTGCCTTTCTTCTGTGGGGAAAGGGTTGTGCTAGGTGACAGGTAAAGCTAGCCAGAGATGATAAGCATTATAAATGGGATGATACTAAAATGGTGACAAAGTGCACTATGAGGCAGACACTCAGATGCTGGATAGATGCGTGTGTTAAGACATCTGACACCAGGACATATTTCATAGCATTTGTTTGAATATGTCATTGGGCACATGTCATTTGCACCTACTTCACCCCCAGATGCCCATGATCTTCATGCAAATATGTGAGACCAGTCTTGTGTTTGTCATGCCTTTGATATCTAGATCAGTCTGTCCCATCCTTGAATGCTGTGGATAATTTAATTCTAGAGTATTAGATTTTCATTGGGCATACTTGGGAATTCTGTCAGGGGCTAGAACCCATCAAGCTGTGGAAGATTGATCTAGGGAAAGCATAGTTTTCATTAAATAAATGTTTCCACATCAGTCACTCTTAATCACAGATATTAATGTCTGCCTGAAGTCTGGTTCTCAAATAATTGGTTGTACAGTTGAAAAGAGCCTCTTATGTAAAGTTTCACCCAGTGGGAAACTCAGCACAACTAGACTATCTGGTTCAGTGGAAATCCCTATGCATGGATATATGTTCACAAGAGCCCCTGAAATGTCAGAATGCATTGCCAAATGGAATCCACTGAAATTAGTCCATGGCACAGTACTCATAAATTCATCTGAGATGCTGATTACAATTAAAAGTTGTTTGCAACAGATAGTGATGTGTTTATGTTAATCAGCAAATATTCTTAGATGGTCCAGCTAAGCCATTCAGGGAAACTATGAGTTAGCACAGCATAAAGATTGCACCTGTAGGAGTGGCAAATGATTTATTAATGCTTCTATATTTATAGTGGCAGCATCTTTCAGTCCACCGCTGAATTTGGCAGTAGAGGATGTGAATGAGAGTTCTGTGACTCTAACATGGGATGGTCCTGAAAATGTGGGCCCTTCTGGTCTGGATGGATATGTAGTGGAGTACTGCAAAGATGGAAGTAGGTTTGGTTTTATTCCCTTGCAAGCATGAAAAATTGCAGCACTGGGTTATCAACTAGTATGAAAGAATTGTTTCTCCTCTTGATAGTTGGCAGCCACAATCAAAGAGAATACTATGGGAGAGGGATAATTTTGATGTAATGTTCACTAAAATCTTGAAAACTGTTGCTCAGTTGTTTTAAAAAAAATGTTATGTCTACTTCTGCTAAGTAGTAGCACACTTGATCACCAATTTACATACTTGCTCCATTATGCCATAATGTGGAACAATCACACTATAGGACTATAAAGTCTAGAATTTGACATGAGACTTTTTCTTAAAGAGTGTAAGGTGGGAAGATTTCACAGAGGTAATTTCTCCTCTGCAAGTGGGGCAAGAAATGTGCAAACATCCACTCAAATGTAGAATTACTTAAATAAGAGAAACCAGGAAATAAAAATCTTGGTTATCTGCTACATTTTTGTTACATCATTGGTGCATGATTATGCCCCTGTTTCAAATAGAATTTTTGTAACAAATCTTTGTATAGGAATGCTAGATAATATATAATGGAAGCTGCCAAAAATGTTTCTCATAGGCGTGCCATAGGTGCCCTGAAAAAACTCAGATTATCACTAAGTGGAACAAAGAGTGAATATTTGTTGCTGCCTTTTAATGATCATCCAAAGGTTTCCAGCTTATAGAGGAGGTCCTTGAATTCCTACGGTCATAAATTATGATGTCATAAAGCAGGTCACTAATGTGACTGACCCAATTTTACAACATTTATATATACACTTTTTAAAAAATTATGAAATCTGCTTCAGAAAACCTGGCTTAGGACATTTCATTTATGAACAACTCTATACAATAAGTAAAGGATATATTGATGCCATCAAAGGCTGAGTGGGTTTTTTAAAGATAGCTTCACAACATGTTATATTGATAATAAATGATGAATGAAAACTGCTAAATTCATCTAGCATTGATGAGGTAGCAGCTGATTATTTCCCTTTTTCATTTTGAAAAGCAGATGGTTTACACCAGTGGTTCTCAACCTGTGGGTCGGACCCCATTTGGGATTGAACGACCATTTATGGGGGTTGCCAAACAGCGCAGTCTGCCATTTTTTCCCCTTTTCCTTAGCTGTGCTACTCCTTTTTATTCTATTGGCTTTTGAAAGTCAATAGAATAGACTCTCTTGAATAGAGTCTAATTCTATTGGCTTTCAAAAGCCAATAGGAATTGTCCAGGCTGTCTCTGCCCTGCTGAGCTCACCAAAAGTCCCATTCTGCAAATGGTGCTGCACCAGTTGAGTAGTCCTCGACTTATGACCGGTTGAGTAGTCCTCGACTTACAACCGGTTGGGGGTCGCAGCATTAAAAAGGTTGAGAACCACTGGTTTACACAGATTGATTAGCTGAGGTGTTAGAATTCTAATACAGGAGGACAAATAACTTCATATAAATACATTACATTGAATTTACCTGTTGGCACTGCTTGCAGAGTATATTCTGTTTCAAACTGTTTGTGGAATATTTCATTTTGGCCAGTTTCAACTTGTATGAATATATTACTATATTGCATAGCCACTTGATGTGTTTGGAGAGCTATTATATTAGTTCACTGATTATATTTTTGATTGATTACAAATTATTAATCTTGAACCAAGTAACATATTTATCAACATTGTGGAAATGTCTACAAAAGAAGATCTAAATATACCTAAAAGTTTTCATGGTAACAATAAAGAAGTAAGACAATAGGGGTAAAAAACATGAGAGCTGAGATTCTGTGCAGTGCAGTGGTTAGAATGTTGGACAAGGAGTGAAGACACTCAGGTTCAAATACACTCTTGGCTGTGGAAGCTCACGGTGTATTTTTTGGCCCAGCTCTCTCAGCCATTTGATGTCACAGTGTTGTTGTGGGGAATAATTGCAATAAGGAGTGCTATGTGGGGAAAATTGGACTATATCTATTTATAAATCAGTTAAAATATATCTACTGTATTTGATCAGAAGTAAATAAGTTATTAGACAACATGACTTTGTATTTTCATGTGATAAATAATTTCAAAGAGCCCCATCTCCTCTATACTGTACCTAGTCAAAAACATCTTCTTCTATGCTCAGTAATCTTCTTCAGTTCTCATTTTTAAATAAACTGAGTGGATTTTCTCAGTATTTCCAAACCTGGTGATTTCCATCTCCCATTGTTCCCAAACCATGTCAAATACCTCTGAAGAACATCAGACTTGAGAAGGCTACTTTTTGGAAAATAATAAATGTCTAAATGTTCCTGAACAGACTTTTAATATTCTTTGGTACAGAATTGCTTGCTGCTGATCTTTTTCCACATTTTTGTTTTAGCAACAAACTGGATAACAGCCAACAATAAACCCTTTCTTTGTATTCGTTACACAATCCACAATTTAATATCTGGAGAGAAACTTCATTTTCGAGTGAAAGCTATAAAAGGTAATGCAGTTAGTCAACCAGCATTTCTAGACCAGCCACTTCTCATCAAAGAAATTCTTGGTATGTATCTGTAAATACATGTGTGTGTGCGTGTGTTTGTGTATTATGAGCATGTGCATATGCACATACAAGAATAGTGCCTGGGAGAAGAAATATGCCATAATTTTTCTAGCCAAGTTGTCTTTTGACCCATTGAGAAATCATTCTTCCCATTGAGTTTAATTTCAAAAAATGGCATGGAACAAGAAACAAAAACAATCTGTTACCTTTTTTCATGTCTATCAATTGTCCTCAAACTGGCAATCCATAGTGATACATTTCAGTTTTTAAGAAGCCAGAAGATCTGTCACAGCACAACATTGATTCTTTATTACACCCAAAGGTCAGTCACTTAAAATATCGTAGTCTGCAAGCACTAAAAGATCCAGACAACAGAAAAGTACATAATAAAAGAGGTAGAGAGGGTGCTATAACTGTTGAGACAAATGGATTAACATTTTGCTGGCAACTATTCTTTGTCTGCAATGTTTCTTTGTCTGGATCTGAAAGAATGCAATTTAGAATTTCACTTAAAACATTGGCTGTATTAAAGCATTGGTATTTATATTGTTAGAGCTGAGCAGATGGATCATTTTAACAAGACGTCCTAATGTGAGCAAATATGATATTCCTATTTTTGACAAACTATATTTGAAGCTTTAGGGATAGTTTTCAATTTCATACCACTTTACAAAAATCATAATGTGGGCACTGCTTGATATAATCTAATACATGTAACTCATGTTTTGTCATTAATAGTATTAATATTTTCATCCAAACCAAGATTGTAATGACTACGGTTACAATTGGATGTCATTTTCTTGCTCTTTTATGATCCCAGATTATTTGTTTAATATATTTATTAAATATAAATAGCCAGATTATTTATTTAATATATTTATTAAATGTGAATAAAATGTTTTTTCCCAGTTTAAAATGGTAATATATATAAAAAACTAATGCCGATGAGAGATATAAAAATGTGAAATAATCCCACAGTAAGCATGCAATGTAAAATTGATCAACTGCAAATGCAAAACATCCAGTTATTTATTCCTGCAATTTATTTGCCACTTAGTTCCAGAAAAGCTCTGAGCAGTTTTCAAATGGTATAAAAGTAAAATAGAATTAGAAGAAGTAATCAACCTCCCAAACCCAATTTCCTCCATTTCTTGGCCACTGAGAACAATTCTAGCAGAAATGTTTGTTTATAGCTGGGATTAGACCACAGCATGTTTTCCAGGACTACAAGGCCTCTATGGTTTTCCAGAACATCAATGGGGCTGGTGCTGAGGTGACTCTGATGAAGCACTGTTCTGAAAGAAAGGAACAGCTATAAAAGAAGTCATGCCCTTGTCTTGATGACTGCAATCCCACAAGAATGGGATTTAAAGGTTCTTTTCCCCACTGGATCTTATGCATGGGCAGAAACCTTTTGGAGAAGACAGTCCTGCAGTGTCCAAGTCCTGAACTAGAGGATTACTGATCACAAATTAATAAAATAAAACACTGACATAATTCAAGCACCCCGAGGAACAGACAAATCTTAGTATGAAGCAATGTGGCTGCCAGATTGCTCTCACAAATGGGGAGGGAGGGATATCTCTCTAAGAACCTAGAATGAGTAAATATTGAGTAAGTATTAAATAAGTATTTGCAAGAATTACCTAAATTTAGTTTTCTACAGACCAAGTTTGAAAGCTTAAAACTTGGACTTGGAACTGGACCTGATAAATAATAGAAAGCCAGGACAGACACGACATGACTAACATGTTTTTGGAGGATTGGCGAGTTAGAAGTCTTCCAGTAGATCTTGATTTATTTTGGATACTATCTATTCCAGTTACTGCATCATCAAGTCCACTGCCTACTATTGGACAAAATAATGTTGTTTGCTTTGGGATATTGTCTTTATTTAAAACTGTATATTAGTTGGAAAATTTCATCTCTTTGCAGCTGATAAGAATGAAGACTGGTTTTTCAAAAAATATGATAAGGTTAACCTGCAGTATATATCACATTGTTATACGCTTGTACAGGTAGTTCTCCACAGTTTGTTTAGTGGTCATTTGAAATTAGAATGCAGTATTGCAGGCTAATTCTGCTGACTGCCAAGGGTTCAATCCTCACCAGCTCAAGGTTGACTCAGCCTTCCATCCTCCTGAGGTCGGTAAAATGAGGGCCCAGATTTTGGGGGGAAATATGCTGATTCTGTAAACCGCTCAGAGAGGGCGGTAAAGCACCGTGAAGCAGTATATAAGTCTATTGCAATTGCTATTGTGATTGTGGCATGCCCATGGTCACTTGGTCAAAATTCAGTTGATTGGCAACTGACTCATATTTATGACGATCGCAGTGTCCTTGGGTCATGCGATTACCTTTTGCAGTCTTCTGACAAACAAAGTCAACAGAGAAGCCAGATTCACTTAACAACCGTGTTAGTAACTTAACAGCTGCCATGATTTACTTAACAACTGTGGCGAGAAAGGTCGCAAAATGGGGCAAAATTCAGTTAATATATGTCTCACTTAGCAACAAAAATTTTGAGCTCAGTTGTGGTTATAAGTTGAGGACTACCTGTAATTTAAGTGCTATAGCATTTGCAAACAGAGAATCTAGAGCAAATTGTTCTTGCATTTGCTTTTTAACTAACAAGATTGCTTTATCTATACCTCTGGGAACCAATTAGTGCTTGCATTCTTACTTAGAGGCAATTAGGACCAACTGTGATGGTATCTTAAACCCTAAGGATTTTTTTTATATAATTAATTTTAAATTAGCTTTCTAATAGTATCATATTTTAGCACAACTAGTTACTCTGGTTTTTCAATGGCCAAAATAACAATAATGCTAACCACTACATTGGAGTAGCCTATAATTATTGCAGTCTCCAAGTCTCAGCATTTTTTTTTTAATTTAATCCTTTTAAGAGAGAAAAAGTCCTTCTGGCAAGATGTGACAATGTAAAACAGAAGACTGGCATATAAAAAAAATTAAATGTTCCAGATTTTCTTCATTCCAAATGTTGTCTTTCACCACCCCACCCCCCAATAAGAGAATTTCTTTACATCTATGTGAAGCTTCAATCTGGAAATTCAGTTTGAAGACATTTCAGTCAAATCACTCCTTCAAAATGAATCTTTGAATCAACTTGGTCCATTGAATCAGGCATCTTTGTATCAGCATAAAGATTTAGCAAATGTTTGTGCATTAAATCAACTTATATTAAATCAATTTATACCACTTTATAAATCCTTGGTAAGACCACACTTGGAATATTGCATCCAGTTTTGGTCACCACAATATAAAAAACATGTTGAGACTCTAAAAGAGTACAGAGAAGAGCAAGAAAATAATTAGAGGACTGGAAGCTAAAACATATGAAGAATGGTTGCAGGAATTGGGTATGTCTAATTTAATGAAAAAAGGACTAGTGGTGACATGATAGCAGTATTCCAATATCTAAGGAGCTGCCACAAAAAAGAGGGAGTCAAGCTATTTTCCAAAGCACCTGAAGGCAAGCAAGAAGCAATGGATGAAAAATAATCAAGGGGAGAACCAACCTAGAACTAAGGAGAAATTTCTGCTTGAGTAGTGGGTTGGACTATGAAGACCTCCAAGATCCCTTCCAATTCTGTAATTTTGATCATAATCCTAAATTGAAAAGATTTGATGAAAATCATGTCAAAATATTGATTCAATAATTCAAACTAACTCGGAAATTTTAGTTGGATCAATACTTCTCTATTTTTGTTTGAAAATATGAAAGGCCATAGAAGTTTCATAACCTGCAATTGATGAAGGTACCTATTTTAATGGGAAGCAGTGTAGTAACTGTTGATCATAAGGGAAAAAATCCAGAATCAAAACAGGCAGTATCTTTATTGGATCAACTAAAGTTGTACAAAAGTATTGTTTACATAGCAGAAATAAGTAACATATTGATATAATTTCGCTTTGTCCAGAGCAGCCCAAGATCCGACTTCCACGCTACTTAAGAGAATTGTACGTGAGGACTGTGGGGGATATGATAAATCTCTTGATCCCATTCTGGGTATGTGAATCAGAATTCCTTTGCAATTATCTCTGCTCTTTTGGCCTTGTCTGAGGAAGAGTTTTTAAATTCTGCCATTTATTCTGGAGCTCAAGGCAGCACACGTGGTGTTTCCTGCTGTTTTCCCCAGACACTATGTGGCATTTAGAACAGAGGGTGAGTGAGAGAGAGAGAGAGCATGCGCAAGAGGCCCAAGGTCACCCAGTGAGCTTCCATAGCTGTAGATGGTTTTAGAATCATCTGGGTCTTCCTGCTCCCAGTCAAGCAATTTAACCATTACATTACATCACATGAACATCACTGAAGAGACAAATGTGAACAGAGAGTAGCATCACCTACACAGAAGTGAGTTGTAGCAAATGGGATTTCACTGGGCAAAATAGAATTAGAGAAGAAGGAGCTGACTTAATTTAAGTTTTGGAAGAAATCTAACTGCCCTTGAATATGTCTAGTTGAATGAGAGGAAAGCTAATAGGCTAGAATTCAGAGGAGCAAGTTAGGTCTACAGGCAGAATGCTACACAAGTTATGAAATCCTAAGGTAATGCCCAAATTATTATTCTGACAGTCTGAATAATTGACAAGTTTTGGGTTCATAAGAGCATTTGATTTGTATCTTGCCAGTCTTGTGAAAGCTTTCATTTCTTAGCAGTTGATCTCTGAATACTGAAATATATCCCTTTTTACCTAACAGAATCTCCCTTGTTAAAAGGAGGTTGCCATCTACGTTTAGAAAACACAAGCAGTATTCTTTAGTCCAGTAATGGAGTAAAAGGTTATAGTCCAGAGTCTAAAATAGCTCTCTGCCAAAAATAGGAAGCCATGTGGATTAGCACAGAGAGGCTTTGAAAGGGGTATAGCACTCCATGCATTTTCTTGGTTCTTAGATATTTGCAGACTGAATCAACTATGGACCTAGACCCCTCTCTTCAAAGAGCAGCTGCAGCTCAAGCTTCATTGGACTCATATTTGTATTAATATTAGCTAACCTTTATTTTGTTATTGATGTTGTTGTTTATAGCTTAGAACGCAGGAATTCTAAGTAATTTTTTTTCACCATTATTTTATCTAGATATAGATTTCAGAGCATGATACAGTAAGAAAAAGAGATTACACAATTTTTTTACAATCTGTCATTATTATTATCAATGCATAGCATGCATGAAGTACAGATACAGAGTTTATCACTTATTTGCAGATAAGAAAGTCTGCAGAAGTCTCTTGGTAGGCTATATAAATTAATACATAAACTTTAGCTATAACATCTCATCAAGCAATCAGGAAAGAGCAATAAAAATATAGATATCAATGTAAAATGCTTAATCAAGGAAAACAAAACCAAACATCTTGGTGGTTCTATAATCACAGTAACAAATATATTCATTAAAATGGGTGTTGTTAAAGCTTCTACCCAACAAAATACATGGAAGTTCAACATCAAACAGTAATAAAGTATTTAAAAAACTTAGCAATAAACACAACTATTTCACAAGCCAGAGACTTTCTTAATTCCAGAAAAGCTCTGAGCAGTTTTCAGATGAAAGTAAAATAGAAAAAAAATAGAAGAAGAGGTAACCAACCTGCTAAACCTAGCTTCCATCCATTTCTCAGCCACGGAAAACAATTCTGGCAAATAAAGAGTCAGTTTGGTCTAGTGATTAAGGCACTAAGCTAGAAAATGCTCTATGCTAGGACATGAGTGGAACTGCATTGATGTATCTTAATGTTGGCAGAGATAGACAGGGACAGGTTCTTCCTCAAATATTAGTGTCCCAAGCCATTTAAGGCTTTAAATCACCAGAAATGTTTGAGAAGGTAATGGTTTTTTTTTTCTGTAAAATTGATGTTAAATCATTTCTGTATTCTCCATGCTGAATTATGCAGTAGAGGATGCCTTTTACTTACGGTATCTAAACAGGGCATCCCTCCTATGAACAAGTCCTTCCCCCATCTCCTGACTCCCATACAGAAGATTTAAAAAAAACAATGGCTTTCAAGTAATAATATATCAAGAGCTATTGACGTCACAGAAATGGAAATATTCTTGCTTTAAAAATTCAAGACTTAGATATTTTTTAAAATAAATACCTTCCTGTAAGTGTTCCATCTCTGAATGAGCTTATGGAAAATATGTTCCTGGATAATGGAAAATGTGATTTAATATTATAGTTTAATCACAGAAAGTAAAAGCAAATTAACTATGGTTTTGGGGTGGAATTTGAATGTATTTTTCCCCATGAGATTTTTAGTCTTCTAAAGTAAATTGGCTTCATCTTTGAAACCTGCCCTTAGATATCCTACTCATTGGTATTTTAATAAGCATTGGCCTACTGTGAATCCTCATGAAAAGCTGCAAGCTGCAGAATGCTGTGGTAGATTAAACTTTGTTAAATAGAATAATATTTAATATTATCCATTCATTTTCATGTCCATTTCTTAGGGAAAGCCAAAGCCACAAGTGACCTGGACCAAAGAAAGCCAACCTTTGGACCCCAAACGAGTTGTTGTACACAATAGTGAGAAAGATTCTGTATTCTTTGTGCGTTCAGCACAACGTAAAGATTCTGGAAAATACCAAATAAGTGTTAAGATCTTAGATGAATTTGAAGATGTGGCTACCTTTGATCTCCTGGTGATTGGTAAGGACAATGAAGCTATACGGGCTGATAAATTATCTAATATTGGAATGGTGTACTATAGATGCTTCTCCATTGAAACAAGCTTCTCTAAAATGGGAATCCATAAAGTTCAAATTTTTAAGGGATCAACTGTTTCTAGTATAATTGGACATTGGAGGATTGATTGTGATATATTCCTTCTATTATATTTTTCTATTTATATAATTATTTAAATGAAAATTTTAAATATGGAAGATTAAGAGTTGTTTTTGCTTATAATAAAGCTATACCCCCCCCAAAATAGTTGAAGATGGGGCTAACAGGGAATCTTAGTTTGAAAGAGACACATATTCAGACATTCTTATAGTCCTCGTTTAATGACTATTCAGCAACCATTTGTAGTTACAACAACTGAATGAGTGGTACTTATGACCAGTCCTCAAAGTTCCGATCTTCTCAGCACCCCTGCAGTCACATGATGGTGATCTGGGTGCTTGGCAACTGGCTCACACATATGATGGTTGCAGTGTTCTGCATCACACGATCATCCTTTCCAGCCTTCCTTGCTGGCTTCCCACAAGCAAATTCAAGGGGAAAGTTGGCTGGGAAGATTGCAAGTCATGCAGGTAAGTTGTTCACACTCTCTCCCATTCAGCAGCAGCCATCCCCAACTTAGCCACTTAGCTGCCTAGTGATCTGCTTGCAAACCAACCAACAAGGACCAGCAGTCCTTGTTTAACAACAGCAACAGGGAGTGTCAGAATTGCCACTGCTAAGCAATGTGGTTACGGAATGTTGAGCTTTACAATTGCTTCACTTAGCAATGGAAATTTGCATCCCAATTACCATTGTTACCTGAGGACTACTTGTTCAATATTTTGTTTTCTGTTGAAAAGTGAAGTGAAAGTGAATGCTAAAGCAGGCAGGAAGTTCTATGTTTAATCTTCAGCATCTCCAGAAAGGGTTGGAAAAAAACCCTTGACTGTAACTCTAGAGCAGTGGTTCTCAACCTGTGGGTCGGGACCCCATTTGGAGTCGAACGACCATTTCATGGGGGTCACCAAACAACGCAGTCCACCATTTTTTTCCCCTTTTCCTTAGCTGTGCTACTTCCTTTTATTCTATTGGCTTTTGAAAGGCAATAGAATAGACTCTCTTTAATAGAGTCTAATTCTATTGGCTTTCAAAAGCCAGTAGGAATTGTCCAGGCTGTCTCTGCCCTGCTGAGCCTGCCAAAAATCCCATTCTGCAAATGGTGCTGCACCAGTTGAGTAGTCCTCAACTTACGACCGGTTGAGTAGTCCTCGACTTACGACCGGTTGGGGGTCGCGGCATTAAAAAGGTTGAGAACCACTGCTCTAGAGACTGTAACTCCAGTCAGCATTAACAGAATTGGGCTAAAGAAATCAATGGTGTGACAGTGTTTTGTCTTGCTATGTATTCTGGTGTCTCTTTTGCATTAGTCTGGTTACACTGTGTTTCTCTCTCTCTCTCTTTAGAGAAACCAGGCCCTCCTGAGAATTTGAAGGTGGTAGACACCTGGGGCTTTAATGTGGCATTAGAGTGGAGCCCACCCCAAGATAAAGGCAATGCTGATCTCAAGGGCTACAAAGTCCAAAAAGCAGATATGAAGACTCAGGTAAGAGCTACTGAGTGCACAAAATGCAGCCTTTAAAAAAAAGTGGGTCAGGAATGGGGGAAACTAGAACTAAAGACCTTGCAAGGATAATGGTGTTTTTATAGCCATCCTCAATACATAATGCTTCAATGGATTTAGCTAACCTATTACTATATCATTTATGATAAGTTTTTACCTTAATCAAAACTTAGAATATTATCAGCTGGTATAAGCCAGCAAACGTCGTTTATCTTTCAAGCAATATTCTTTCATTTAGGCCATAGGTCCCCAACCTTAACCACTTTAAGGCTTGTGGACTTCAACTCCCAGAATTCCTCAGCCAGCAAAGCCTTAAAATGGCCAAGGTTGGGGACCCCTGATTTAGGCTATGTCTGCCTAGGACCTGATTTGGCATAGACTGGAACTAATGGAAGGAACCATTCTAGAACATAAGAAAGACTTTTCTGATGGATTGCTAATACCTTCCTTTCATTAGATAATTTTATTCAAACATTATACAAGTAGTCCTTAGCATACGACTACAATTGGGATCAGAATTTCCGTTGCTAAAAGCTAGTTGTTAAGTGACCCTTGCCCGAATTTAAAATCCTTTTTTGCCATGATTGTTAAGCAAATCACTGCAGTTGTTATGAATCATGAGGTCATTAAGTGAATCCAGCCTTTTTTGGAATTTCTTACTGGTCTTGATTTCGTTATCATCAACTGATAAGATCATCTTTGGCATAAAATTAACTCCCACCTATATAGAATTTGCCCCCAGCTGAATTAGGGGTTGGAAATGAGGTGAAGAAATGAATAAGAATAATGTTACGTTATGGAAAATCTCTGGAATAGTTTTTTAAATCTTTTAAAAGTACAATTAATTGGGTCATACCTCGATATGGAAAATGAAGGTAAATCATGGTTAAAAAAATAGTAGTTTTTTTAGCTGCTAATCAACCATAGTAAATAACTTTATAAATCAATGTCTATTTAGTCTAGCAGATATATTTCCCTTGGGAATCTTTGTCCAGTCCTCCAGAAATAATAATACGGCAATATAGTTTGCCTTTTTAACAGATGTTGTTGCTGACTGTCTGGTTCCTCAGCTATTTCTTTAAACCTGGGGTTGTGGCATCTTTGGTAGAAATACACTTTGTTATATTTCTATTTGTATATATGTATTGAGATGTACAATCTCACACACAAACACACACACACACACACACACACACACACACACACACACACATATATATATGTAGGTCTTTGGTTGTTCGGGTTTTCTCCCGTGTAAAATTGGAAGTGTCTTGGCGACGTTTCGACGAAATCCCATTTGTCATCTTCAGGCTGGTGTTTTCAGCTTCGTGCTTCGAGGAGCAATGTGTGGTCTTAGCTGTTTCTTCCTTTTAACTGCCAGTGGGGGTATGAACTGATTGGGTGGGAGCTTGGCTGTGTTCTGATTGGGTGGAGGTGTGTTCTGATTGGTTAGGGGCTTGGCTGTGCTCTGATTGGCTGGGGGGTTGGCTGTGCTCTGATTGGCTGGGGGGTTGGCTATGCTCTGATTGGCTGGGGGAGTGTTCTGTTTGGTTGTGCTCAGGTTAGTCTGAGTTGCAGAGGGGTTTAAGATTTTGGGCTGCCTTGCTATTTTTTTGGCTTCGCGTTCGTGGTTGTGCCTCCTCTTCATGGAGGGTGTCAGTTTGCTTCATGTTGGATTGGAGGGGTTTAAAGTGGCTAATGATGCAGCTGTGGTCTGGCTTCTGGTTTGTGGTCGTGCCTCGTCATCGGTGTGGCTTTGGGTTTGTTTTTTGCGTGGATGTGTGGTGGTGACATCCTGTGTGGTTTTGTGAGTGTGGGTCTGGTATCATTTTTTGTGTTAGGGAGTCGTTTGTCAATAAGGGCGGGTTTCCAAATGGCTGGTAGGCGGGAGGTATCATCTCGCTTGTTCACGCTGTGTGGGCGTTTTTCTATCTCGATGGCTTCTCTGATTATTCTGTTATTAAAATGTTCACTTTTGGCAATGGTTCTGGTATTTTTAAAGTCAATTTCATGTCCTGTAGCTTTAAGGTGTTGGACCAGGGAAGATGTTGGTTCCTCTTTTTTTTGACTGAGTTCTTATGTTCTTCAATGCGTGCACTTATTCTTCTGTTGGTTTGTCCGATGTATGTGGTGGGACAAGTGGTGCATGGGATTTCGTATACTCCTTGATTTTCTAATTCAATTTTATCTTTGGGTTTCTAAGGATGGTGGATATTTTTCTGTTTGTGCAGAATGCTGTTTTGATGTTGTGTTTATGGAGGATCTTACTGATTCTGTCTGTGGTGCCTTTTATGTATGGGAGGAGGGCTTTGCCGTTTTCTTGTTCTTTGTCTTGGATTTAGTGGGGGTTTCTTTTTGGATTAGGTTTGTAATCTTATTTCTATGGAATCCATTGGATGTTAGTACATTGGTGAGAGTGTGTAGTTCGGGTTTTAGGTGTTGTTCGTCATCTAAGCGTTTTGTTCTGGAGATGAGTGTCTTGGCTACAGAGTTGATCTGTGCTGGGTGGTGATGTGAGAGAGCGTGCAGATAGCGGTTTGTGTGTGTTTTCTTCTGGTAGATGGTGTGTCCTAGGGAGCCATTGGATTTCTTGTAGACTAAGACATCCAGGAAGGGAAGTTGGTTGTTAGTTTCTGTTTCCATGGTGAACTGTATTTTGGGGTGTAGGCTGTTGAGGTGTGTGAGGAAGTTGTCCAGTTTTTCTTTCCCATGTGGCCAGATTATGAAGGTGTAGTCTACGTATCTGAGCCAGAGTTTGGGTTTGTGATCCGATTTTTCTAGAGCTTGGGTTACAGTTACATACAGTTACATACAGTTACATACAGTTACATACAGTTAGCATATATACACTTCTAAGTAGTAACATGTGAGAGCTGTCTTTTTAACCCTATATGTAATTTGGGAGTCAAGGCTAAATTTTGCCTTTTTTAGGCCATGCAAAAAACATAACTGTTTTGTGCAAAATGTTGAATTTCCTGAACTGGGTGTTTTAATGTTTAAAGGTCCTTCTGCCTTGTTTCGCAGCAATGGTTCACAGTTTTGGAAAATTGCAGCCATACAAGCTGCATAGTATCTGATCTCATCATTGGCAACAGTTACTCTTTCCGAGTTTTCTCAGAAAATCCTTGTGGTCTAAGTGAAACGCCTGCTGTCACAAAGAATGTAACGCACATAACAAAATCAGGTAAAGCTAATGAAGCATGGTAGAAAAGTAGAAAGATCTTGCTGTTTCTTCATTACAGGTGAGGGCAACTTGAGACCTCAGATGTATAAGTAGCGCTCCAAACTATTCAAGATCCCAGATCTTCCCAGATCAAACCATTACATTTCGGGAATTGGCAGTACTGGGGTGGGACATTATCAGCGGGGTTGGGCTGGTGTCACAGGGTGTGGGGCAGTGAGGGCGGGGCAGTAGCCCCGCACAACAATCCCAGTTTCTCATGTGGCCCTTGGGAAAAATAATTGTCTACCACTGCTCAGGGTCATTCTTCTATCCATTATACTGTTGACTCTTATATTAAACTGAATGGTTATTTTGAATTTCTTTCTCATACCTTCTTTTCTAGGTCTGAGTCTCTTTCTTGCCTTAACTGTTCTTGCATACCCTTTTCAAGGTTATCTGTGCACACTTCTAAGTTAAAGAACCCCCAAATTCATCTGCAGAATCCCCAATTCTTTAAAACTTTTGGCCCCTTCTTTATGAATGAGTCATTTATTTTCATTTTTACATTGTTACCCTCATCCTCCATGAAAGATTACCTGCCCCGACTTTATGTTAAATTACTTTTTGAGTCAAAAGATCTCAAAATAAGGTCTCCCTGTTTTTGTAGGAATAGTGTACAAACCAGACAAGTTCTGTAGCCGGGATTTCTGTGAACCTCCCAAATTCACTCAGCCACTGATAGACAGAACCACTACCCAGGGCTACAGCACCCAGCTCATCTGCTGTGTCCGAGGCTTCCCAAAGGTGGGTTCTGTCATGGGATGTGATGCCTACTGGACTGCAACAAGATAGGATATCATAGCAGGTATAGGAAGGGTGGTGACCGGAGATAACTAATCTCTTTTGCCCTTAAAAAGAAAGAGGGGTTAGGTAAGTCACTTTCTTACTGCTGATCTGTAATGCTTTGTTGTGTATTATTTAACCTACATTTACACAATGGTTTATTTTCTTTTGTAAAGGTTTTCATCAGAATTTGCATTTAAAAATATCAACTTTCCCCCCTCAAATATTTGTTTCTAAATATTCTTCCTCAGAACATATGATTTTCAATATATCTATCTAAATTATATAAATAAACCTTGCCAATACTTTATTGAATTGAGAACTGGATCACTGCACTGCATCACTGCAGGAAATGTAATAGTAATGGATAGCTATATTTCAATCCTCAGATTAGATTATATCCTCATGTCCTTCACATCAGACCTTGCAAAATTCAAATTCCTCAAGCATCAGGCTCAGTAGTGTCAGCTTCCCATTTCCCTCTGCAAGCCCATATTTGCTTACACTGAAAGAGATTCCACCTCTTTTAAAATTTTATGAAGCAAAGTGATGTGAAAGATAAATTCAAATAATTGTAGACAAAATGTCTGACTTCCTGGATACCTGACAGTTTTTTCAGAATTATAGTAGCTATTGAATTCAGATAGATATGTAGTTGTTATACAGCAAATAGAGGATCAATGATACAAACTACAATAATACTGGTAGATAACTTATATAAATTAGCCTCACTGAATGCAGACAAGGGAGTTACAAATAGAAAAAGTAATGAAGAGAAATAGTTTATATACCTATGCTACCGACTGGGAAGCTTATCCTGCTGAGCTACATTTTGAGATATTTATGCATTTTGGTGCCTTTACTTGATTTTAGCCCAAAGTGATCTGGATGAAAAACCAAAGGGAGATTCAAGAAGATCCAAAATATCTAGTGCACATGAACCAGGGGATTTGTTGTCTAGAAATCCGCAAGCCTAGCCTTTTTGATGGTGGTATCTACACATGCAAAGCTGTGAACCCTTTTGGTGAAGCTTCTGTAGACTGCAAATTGAATATAAAAGGTATGTATGTATTTTATCTCTTGTTTGCATTTGAATGCTTTTTTGCAATTCTAATAAATAAATAAAGTTGTAGAACCTCTGAATGATTTCCATAGAGACTTACAATTCTTTGTGTACAGAAATTCTATGCATTATCATAAAAAGGCGAAATACAAAAAAGGCTACATTAAATAGTAATGACACAGTGAAGAGATCCGAATATATTATAATCATTAAATTGAACCAAAGGGATAAAATGATAGGTTGCCAAAGTTTACTAGATAGAATTGAAATCCAGTGATCTGCCATCTATTTATTTGATTTCTGCAGTTACTTCCTTCTAGGACATGTCCAGAATTACTAGCTTACATGGCAGTTAGTACTTCCAGGAGGGATGACTTCACATACAAAGAATATTTCTTAATTTCCCAAGGAAGCATTACATGGCAAATGACAGTATGATGGTATCAGGCCTTAATATAAAATAGGAGTGGTGACAATTGTTGCCAGCCAATTTATTTATTTATTTATTTATTTATTTATTTATTTATTTATTTATTTATGAGACTTATATACCGCTTTAAGTGCAAGCACTCTCTAAGCGGTGTACACCAGTAAGCAATGTATATATATATATTTACATTGCCCCCAACAATCTGGGTCCTCATTTTACCTACCCCGGAAGGATGGAAGGCTGAGTCAACCTTGAGCCGGTGAGATTTGAACTGCTGACCTGCTGAACACAGTCAGCTAAAGTGGCCTGCAGTACTGCACTCTAACTGCTGCGCCACCTCGGCTCTTTTAATTCTTTTAAACTGCTTTTTGGCGGAACACAGTGTTGGACTCCCTCAATAATTTATATATTTATTGGTTTGGATTATTTGCTGCTGTATGTCCAAAGACTCCAAGAGACTTAGAATATATCAACATAATAAGATTAGGATTTTTAAATTTCATAACAATGGACTTAACCTAGTGTGCCACTATTCAGGGTTAGCATGATGCTCATTTATTGCCAGAAACCTTTCTGAGGAGCCATGTAATGTAACAGGAAAGGAATGTGGTCCAGATAGTTGGAGGGAAGGCTGTTCCAAAAGAGGAGCCTGCCTCTAAAAAGTTCAGATATGGGTCCCTCCATATGACATTCTTCCATAAGGCCTCTCTGTCAGATCATATAATATTGGGTGGATTTAACTCAGAAAACTAACTTCGAAACTAACTTGCAGCCATTGCGGCTCCTGTAGTACATAATAGTGTTATATTGGACAAACTTGGCGTGTCTTTAACAACCTGGACTCATTTTCATAGAGTATTCAATGGAAACTTCATGTGAAGCAAATTACAGCAGTCCAGTTGTAATTTGCTCTGCATAGGGCTTCAGTCTACAACTAGTGTACAAGATATAATTGTACAAAACCCCCTCTCCCCCCTCCCAGTCATGACCTTCACTTATTGTTCAAGCAGGAAACTTGATTTCAGGAGGATCACTAGATTGTGAATTAAGTTCTTCCAGTGAAACCTAGCCTCAGATTCATCTGACTTTGGGATCCATAGCCATTTGCTGGGATTCAGGATATGCCTATTTCCACCAATAGTCTCCAGGCACTGGATCAAGACATGAACTGCATCTCCTATCCACATTAGAGTGGAAATATATAAGTGGATATCAACCACAAATGATGCAACTTCATCCGGTGGCTTTGTGTAGATATTAAACAGCAGAAGAAGAGGATTGAGCCTAAACACTCCATAATAGATTATTTGAGGGTTTGCCCTCTCCCCATCATAATTAACTCTTAAAATAGGAGTTGTTGTTTTTGCAAGAGATGTGAATGGGAGACTGTGGGTGAGTTTTTCTAAAGGCTTTATAACTCCAAGTATTAATTGACATATTTTATGTCATGCAAGCAGATTTGGGCAATTTGGTTCATCCAGATTTTTGGAACTATGACACTTGCAAGCCTTAACATTTGCCAAGATTAAAGTGAGTTGTAATTCATAGAATCTGAAGGATACCAGATTGCCCATTCCTGCTGGTAGGATTGGCACAAGATGTCTTGTTTCTCCTCCTCCCCCATCTGCTTTGATTTCTATCACCTTAATTGCTTACAGAAACCATATCAGCCATCTCATTTATCTCATCCCCAGATCGGAATTTCTACTGCTGTACAGACAACAATTCAGATATACTCCCAGGACTTTATTTGCAATCCATCATTATAGGAAAAAGAAAATGAAAAAAAGAGTGGATGGTTGTTTTCTAAGTAGGGGATCAGAACAGTAGTATCTTTTATGATTTGCTGCATGAGCAATGTGGCTTGCAGTAACTTACTGGAAGGCCAATGTTGATTAGCTTGCTTCATGGTGTTCAACTAGAATATAGTAGGTTTTGATAAGTGTTAGGAAATTCCATTTATGGATTTCTGCTCCTTCTTGATGCCCTCTGAGCCTGGTTGTTTGCTTGCAGATGTTTTATTACTGAATTAGGTATCATCATTATGCATGGATGAAGTTACCTAGTTGGGTAATAAAGTGTCTGTGTACAAACACAAGCTCAGAGAGCACCAAGAACGCCGCAGTTTAACTCCACAGTTCAGTCCTGAGCTACAGAAATTCTCTTTTACAATATTGAAATTCCATCTAGCAGAGAAGAGACCTCAGTCAATATGTACAAATACATATATATACACATGTACACCCAGAAATATACAATAATATTTCCTAGCTAAGATAAAGTATGTGCACGTCTTCCCTTGGGAGTCCGAATAATGAAATAACGTGTTGCATCTGATCAAATTTCAAGTCTAAGGAACTCCACAGACAAGCAGTTTCTCCAGTAGGATCTCTTTTAAGTTTAATTATGCAGCTGAGATATTGATTTTTCTAACGTTCTATAATTGGCAAAGAAACTCCTGTCTGCCAGTTGACTGGCTTTCATCTATAATAGCTCTAGCCCAGGTTAATATTTCTAATATATTACCAGCATGCAATTTCTCCTTTCAGATCTCTTTCGTTTAACTGTTTGAGAAGTAAACATCTCCAAGTGAACACTTAAACCTTATGGCATCTTTCTGTACAATAGCCTTTGTATTTTTCTAGTTCTTTTTATCTTTAGTAAAGACAAGCTTGTTCCATCATTAATATTGCCAGGAGGGCAAAAGACCCACATTGTGTAAAGGGATCTGAATGGGTCATAATGTTAAATACTAGTTCATGATGTTTCTGTTATGTCTGCAGTTCTGTAATGATGATATCTGGGAAATCAGATGAAGAACAAGGTAGGATAAACTGCCACTTAAGTCAGTTGGAGAACATTCAAGCTTCCTGCAAGCTTCAAGAATCCATCTTAGACCTGATAACAATCCTGGACCATTAATGCATTAAGTTAATGGTGCATTAAGTTCTCTAAGGCAAAAACTGAAAAATGCAAAATAAGTATATTATTTTATATAAAACTAATAGATTACTCCCTATCCTGGAATATCATAAAGTCCTAATAGCATATTTATCTATACCATTTACTAGTTAAATGAAAAAACAATGATCAGCCGTCTGTTGTTTTACAAACAGATCTAGTTCTTCCTTTTTGAATCACATGGTCACGTCTTGTGATAAATCTCATTTATCGAGATGAATTATAGTCCTACTACCTTAGTTTACTGTCAAGAAAGATAAGGATCATTTTTTAATGTAAAGGCAATCAGATCTAAATTCTTTGCTTCATTTTTTTTTTAAGTAGAATAGCATGAACAGATATTGGAGGGAATCTGGATTACATTTGTAACTCTCCTTATCTCATATAAGGATCAAATTTATTGTTTATGTGCATGTAAGAAAGATTTCAGTTAGATCAAAGACATGAATGTATACAATAGTGGGGAAGAAAATGTTTTTTTCATAATCAGCTGTAGCTAAGTGAGATCTAGCCACATATTTGTGATTTTTGTACTTGTCTGTAAAGAAAGATATTCTTTATCTTAACTCTTTCCTTACCTCTCTCTCAACCAGATCTTGCAAAATTCTCTTCTGGGTTCTCAGCTCGGGAGAGTCCTTTACGGTTCCTAGATGGGATCTGCAGTTTGGAAATAATTTTACCACTGTGGATTTTCAAAAGCAGAAAGTTCACCTGCTGCTGCACTGGCTCTATAAATAGCAACTACATGTTTCCTGTAATACCAAGATTGTCATCTATGCCTCTTGATATTTAGCCCTGCAGAACAAATACTGAATAAAGGAATATATGTTATGAGAATGAAATGATTCCTGTAGAGAATTTAGAGGGGGGGGCAGGAGTGCTCCTATCAACCTTTCCCAACCTTGTGTTCTTCACTATATTGGACACACTATTAAGGTTAGGAAAGGCTATTCTGATTCATTACTACTCAGTGACTATGTTCCTTTTCTTTCTGTTGTCATTACTATCTAACATTAAGTCAGGATTTTTACCACCAATTTCATTTCAAATGACTCTAGGTGACTTACAGCATAATAAACATTAAAATCATTTAATATAAAATGACAGAACAGACAAAATAAACTAATTAACACTAGATGGAAAAGGAGGGAGCCAGATAAATGGATTGGGGGCAAGTAGAATTAGATTTTAATTAGTCAACAACCTTCAATGTAAAATTTCCCCCTATTGGGCTCCAAGCCATCTGGCAGAACCAGGTTTTAAGGCTCTTACAAAAAGTCAGGAGGGTGGGAGCCAATCTCACCCCAGGGTGTGAGATGTTCCAAAAAGCAGGAGCCACGACAGAGAAGGCTCTTCTGTTAGACCCCGCCAGCCAAAATTCCTTGATCAAAGGGAGCTGTAGTATGCCCTCTCTGCTGGCATAGGTGTGGGGGGGGAGTCCCACTGGCATGAGACAGCTCTTCAAGTACTCTGGACCCATGTCATGAAGGGCTTTATAGGTGATTACCAACACCTTGAATTGCACCAGAAGCAAATTACCAAGCAGTGCAGCTCATGGAGCAGTAGTATAACATGAACCATCATAGGGGCCCAAGAACTACTTGTACCACTTCACTCTGTGCCAGCTGTAGCTTCTGAATGCTCTTCAAGGCTAGCCCCATGTAGGGTGCATTGCAATAGTTTAAACATGAGAATATCAGCTTGGCTTGCAAATGACACTGTATAGAATGGCTAAATGTACACCTAACATTAGGATGAAATCAGCCAATTTCTGTCTTAGCAATCATAGGCATCTATGAGGATAAGGAAAACAATTGTTGAAACATGTGAAGACATCAGATAAATGTCATAACTTATATAGTTGTGTCAAATATCAGGGCACAAGCATGCAATGAGGGTGTTTGCATGATAATGTCATGGTTTGTGGTTTGTTGCAGAACCACTGGCAGTATGCGTTAACTAGGCATATATAAGTATAGTAAATATAGTGCATATAGGTTTTTTATTGCCATATTCTATAAGTTAATTTAAACATTAAAACAGAAGCAAAAGCTTTCATCATTAGCCTCTGATATTACCTGGTGAGTAGGAGTGAATTGCCATAAAGCAGGGTCTGATCTGTGTCAAAAACAACTTGGTTTTCAGTTAAATTAATTTTCTGATTTGTATTTCCTGTTATGTTGTATAATCTAACATAAGATTATTGTATAATCTTCTGAAAATTGTTTGGCTTTTCGTTCTACAATATGGCATGAACTGTATACAAAATACATGTACATTTATGTCCCTAGTCAACATAGTCTAATCATCACAAGCATTTCTTGTACAGTTATTCATAAAAACATTACACAGTTAAAGCAACATCACACAATTTTATTAAATTTCAAAAGAAGATAAAATACAAAACAAAACAAAAAAGTGGGGGAAAGGGAGTCAAAAAGGAAGAAGTAAAAAAAGGGGGAGAAATGGAGAGGGATAAACTGTTTTTTTTTTAAAAAATGAAAGATTTTTGACATTCCCCAGTATATATATTGAGCTAAGGGAACATCACACATCCTATCTTATTCCCTGCTCAAGGTTTAGACTTATTAAGTATGCAATTTATGCTTGGTTTAATTCCGTCATAAACCACTTTTATCACACTCAGGAACCAAACTTCATACCCAAATACCTCAAAATTAAAGACTATTAATTTTATCATGCTTATTTTCTTAATCAGCACATATACAATAAACAGTTATACAATATTTATTAAAACTAATACTCTATTAAAAATAAAACATTGCTAATTTTTATAAAATACATACACACCAGTGCTAAGATTATATAAACATGTTCAATAAATTTGCCACATTAACAGTAACAGACTTGAAGATATCTAAAATAAATCCTTTGGTACTTGTGAATTAAATCTTCAGTTGGTTTTTCATCCACAAACCTTTTATATATATATATATATTTTGCTTATTAACGCCTTAGAATTCAAGTAACAGCTCATCTTTTGAAAAATAAGAAGCAGCAATGTTTTTTTTTTTCTGGTTTTACAGCCAGGAAAATGTAGATGAATTCTATTCAGTTAATTGAAATTATAGACATGGCATTTAGTAATCTCCAAATATGCAGGGATAGTAATTATAGTACTAAAACTCTCCCAGAGTATGCTACGCCTCCCAAGAATCTGGCATCTCCAGTTTCCTCACACGATGGAAGGTACCGAGTTGGAGAAAGCCAAAAATCTTAGTTCCTGTCTTCTATTTGTGTTGAGATACAAACATCCAAAATTTCCAACCAGATAATAGAGGATGTGGCAGCCCTGTCATATCTGAAATCAATGATATAAATGTAAACCAAATAGCAAAGTTTGTGGTCTGAAATTATATGGTAGCTATCAGTTTTGTCCCTCAGTTTGCTGTGCATTGCATCCTTAATTGCAGAATAACTATGTCACTAATCAGCTTCCCTGAGCACAAAAACACATACAGAAGCCTTGCTGGTTTGAACTGGAGCCAATTTTAGACTTTCCATTTAAAAATCTACTACTGTAATGAATCATCTGGAGATGAGATACACAACTGAACCATTTTTCGTGATAAAAATTCAGCAGAGGAAGTTAGTAAGTATATCTAGAAAATTATCCAACCTGATATTCTAATTTTTGAATGAACATTTCTGATGCAAATCCATACCTATGATTCTCCATAATATTCTCACAATATATAATTGTTCCAATATTTTTTAGGTTGAATAGCAGACTTTTCTGAATTAGGCAAACTATATACTATTTTATTGTAGGGACCAGTTTGCCTGAAATTCCCTATATGAAAAATCCCCATACTAATGTTATAGTCATTTCATTAAAATATGGGTATTTCATTAGGGTTACTTGCAATTCATATATAGAAGGAGAAGTAGATAAATAGCTTCCAACATTACTTTGAGAAACTAGATGACTTGACTAAGAGTACATAGTTATACAATACACAGCCATGTGCCTGACTTCATGTGAAGCTATTGACATAAAGAAATATACCAATTTATTTTTTAATAATATTAAATTTACAAGTAGAGGAAGGAATTGCTTATTTATTAAATCATCACTCACTGTTTCCCACATATTAGCAGTCACCTTTACAGAATAAATAATATTCCGCCAAATATTCTGGCTGAAATTTCTTGAGAACATGAGTGAGAACAGCTAAAGGTCTGCCTTAAGACCTCAGAACACTGTTCTAGATCCCCATTGGCATGTTATTTATACAACCAAACAGCTACATTCCACTGTTCATAATGAACTATAAATGTCTTTTGGGCTGCCAGAGAGGGAGCAAATTCCTCAGGGAGTGAAGAATATGAACTTTTTTGATGGAAAAGATTAACCCTTGCCTTTATTCCCAGGCAAAAAGTAGGTTGTAAAGGGCAGTAGTTGCATTATATTTGTTCTGCAAAAAAGGTATTGTTAAATTAATGCAATTATCAAAATACAAAGCAAACATGTTGACTTTACTGTGATAGATATGATCTTATTAGTGAATAGATGAAAGCCATAACTTCATCATGCATTAATCTCAAATGATGGACTTCTATGAATACAGTTTGTTCCAAAGTCCAAGACTATGTCGATAAATTCTGTATGATCCTAATCTCTGTTGAGACAGCATGGATAAAAGAAATAGGACAAGCATCCATAGTCTTTTTCATGACCACATTAACTGAATCTGGCAGAGGAGAAAGTTAGAACAGTGTAACATTGAACATGCATGTTACTTCTCAAATGTATTTATTTCTTTAATATATAGCTTGTCCAGCACCAAAGTGACTCTGGGCAGTATTAAAACTAAAAAGCCAATGTAACAAATTAAAAAAAAAGAGAGAATACCAAAACAAACCAAGACATATCAAACCAAATAGAACAAAAGCAAGCAAAACATGGAACTTCATGGTTATCTTATCCAGATAAAGCCTGGTCTTACACAATTCAAATCATTCACATTGTTGAGTCTATTTGTATAAATAAATTCATCTGATTAACATAATTATTTGATTTAGGAAATTGACCTATACATTTTGGCTATTGGAACTGGTTTGAACTGAATGTGCAAATAAATATGTGACTGTGCACATGCACAAAAGGCATTTGAATTAGTCTGAATATAATCATTTTGAAAGCCAGATTAGACAATTGTAATTGACTTGTCACTTCAATTTAGAACTAAATTTGGAAGCACAATGGGATTCCATCAAAGAATTGAAAACAAAACAAAACCCCAAAAATGTATTTATTTGGCAGACAGCCAAATTACCAAGAACAAGTACAAGCAACCTGAAACTATAGAACTGAGATCAGGAAAGCAGTAGATTGAAATAAGCTGAAATTAGTGAATGATATTAAGAATATCAAAAAAGTGTTGTTTTAGTTATGTTTGAAATAGAAAAAAAGCAGCTGCTCAATGAAGAAAGCAAAATGTTATTCAACTCGAATTTTGGCTCAGTCTTCACCATCGAAGAAAAAAGAAAAACTGTAGGTGGATGAACAGACAAGATTGAAGCTTATGACTGACAGAAACATGGCCAAAAGAATGCCTGCTTATGTTTAGTGATATTACATTTCCAGGACCAACTAAATTACATCTTATTTTATTTATTTATTCTATTACATTTGTTTGCCACCCATCTCACTGCAAGGTTATTAACAGAACTTGCTGATGATTTGGCCAAATCCTTACGCATTATCCTTGGAGAACAGATGAAATCCTGGAAAACTAATGAAATCCAAATGAGGGAGAAGAAGAAATGTGGTCCTTGTGTTCAAAAAGAGAAGAAATAAAATTTCAGCAAAATGCAGCCTGGCACTGATACTTGAGAAGATTCTAGAATAGATCATAAACAGATCAATTGGAAAGCACCTTGAAAACAATGTAGAAATTATGAAAAACCAGCTTTCCATTTTAAAGAAAAAAAATTGCCAAACAATTTTTAATCTCATTTTTTTCTAAAAAATGGGTAACTTCCTTCCTAGATTAGGGGAATGCTCTAGACACAGTATGTCTTGACTTCAGCAAAGCATTGATGTAGTTGCTTTGTTTATTTTGTTTATTCTACTTTGATGGGACCATAGCTCAAGTATTTTAAGAATTTAGACAAACTGCAACTTGTTGGAGAAGAACAACATGATGATCAGGGGCTAGAAACGAATTCCTGTGAGGAAGGATGGAAGAAGATGGATTTAGTCTTGAGAAAACATGACTTTAGAAAAAGTTTCCTAACAGTAAAATCAGTTCAACAGTGTCACCATTTACTCAGGGTAGTAATGAGGGTTCCTCTTCACTAGATGTGTTCAAGTGGATGATAAACAACCTCAGCAGGACCCTATGATTTTATGAAGTGTCTCAATCAAATCTCAGAACTGAATATTCACCCATCCACATACTGCTGTGTCCATTGGAATTCATGCACATGACTGAAAATATACACAGAGCTACTATTTTAAAATCGAGGGCAGGTGACGATAAAACTAAAATCTGAACAGAAAAACTAAAGGTCATTATTAAAATCTACATAAGCTTGAAAGAAAAAACAACCTATTCCTGGGCTTGCTTTTTACAGAAAGTGGGAAAAAATTGCATAAGACTGGAAAATATGGGCGAATAGATTTCCCAGAAGGTAAAAACATTTCACCTTTGATTTTTATTAATAGTTTTATTAAGAGAAATAGCACATTGTTTTCCTCACTTTCAATGACTACATTTTAGAAGCAGTTTTCCCCAACTGTCTGATATTATTTTAAACATGACCTGATTGCATCCAGCTGAAGTTACAGATTCCATCCTGACATAGAGAAGGATCTGCCAATCATTATTATTGGCATAATGATTGAACAGGAAAGATTCTGCTGGGATGCATCAGGTTTTTCCTAGGCTGAAGTTATTATTGGGACTAATGTGAAACATCTGGACATGGGTTGACCGCCACCATATTCTTACTCTCTAAAGTGTTAGAAACAAACAATATTTATGGCTCAATTTCCTAAAACAAATTGACTTACACAAGCAAGCCACTTAAATAGATAGCCTTGAATGACTGAGCATTATAAAAGCAAGCCCACTAAGTAGGAAGCACTCAGTGATTGAGCATTGAGTCTTTGCAATTCCTATATTTACTCTGCTACAAAATAAAGTCAAACTCTATTCCTGGCATTAGCACAAATGGCTGCTCTATGCAGTTT